ACCTTTACTTTCCCAAATATTTACCAATTTTGGACCAAAATTTTGGCATCGAGTTTTACATAGTTTCCTGCAGTTTTTGGTGTGCTGATCACGAAAATGACTTCCAATTTCATCTCAGACCTTTACTTTTCCAAATATTTACCAATTTTGGACCAAAATTTTTGCATCGAGTTTTACATAGTTTCCTGCAGTTTTTGGTGTGCTGATGACGAAAATGACTTCCAATTTCATCTCAGACCTTTACTTTTCCAAATATTTACCAATTTCGGACCAAAATTTTTACATCGAGTTTTACATAGTTTCCTGCAGTTTTTGGTGTGCTGATCACGAAAATGACTTCCAATTTCATCTCAGACCTTTACTTTTCCAAATATTTACCAATTTCCGACCAAAATATTCACATCGAGTTTTACATAGTTTCCTGCAGTTTTTGGTGTGCTGATCACGAAAATGACTTTCAATTTCATCTCAGACCTTTACTTTTCCAAATATTTACCAATTTCCGACCAAAATTTTCACATCGAGTTTTACATAGTTTCCTGCAGTTTTTGGTGTGCTGATCACGAAAATGACTTCCAATTTCATCCCAGACCTTTACTTTCCCCAAAATTTACCAATTTGTGACCAAACTTTTAAAATTGAGTTTCACATTGACCCTGTATTGGCCTTACTTTGCATATATTCTTCACCATCTTCTACAAGAATACAGACGCATCGCTCGCCTACTACGCGCCCAAACAAAACGGCGCGTACCCCTAGTGAGGAGCTCCGCATGGCGGTCGGCAAGACGGAGCCTTGCAGCGCCCCGACATGCGGGCCGCGATGCGTCAGCGCTGGAAAGGTCGCCGATGATGTCCGGTTCAGCGAGTGCCCCACCCCGCCTCGCCCCGCGGCGCCGCCACGCTGGCTGGAGCGGGGCCCGATGACTAAGACCTCATGAAAAGAATGGCAAGGGAGGGAGGCTCCGCGCGGGCGGTCCGCGGGGCCGCGATGTGCGCCGCGGGGGTGGCGACGGCGACCGGGGCTCCCCACCACGACCTCCGCGACGTCGCTGCTGGTCCGCTGGTCCACGCACGTCGATGGCGGGCGGACCGTGGAGCTCGGCGTCGACGGCCTCTACCCCCCGAGGGCCTAGATCACCACGCCGGCGTCGCCGCGTCGCCGTCGGACGCGTGGGCGGGTGAGAAACGCCCGTCGGGCCGCGCTGCCGCGCCGAGGACAAAGAGGCCCGGAAACCGAAGGAAAGAAGAGGGTGGGGGAATAATTGGTCGTAAGAATGCCGGAGTGTATGGGAATGTTCAAAGGCGGGGCGGGGCGAAGGGAGGCCCCACTGGGGTTGGGGCTTGGAGTCGCCGGGGCTCGGGGCCAGAGGCTGCCAGGCCAGAAAGACAGAGCCAAAGAGCGGAGGGCGCGGTGAATCGCCTGCACGGCACATGATGCAAATGGCGAGGGAAGCCCGGCGGGTGAAAAGTGCGGCGCGTAGCGCTGCGCAGCGCGTTGCAATAAAGGAAGCCGTCTTATTGCGTCTTCCCGCGCGGATCCCGATCCAGCGTCTCTAGGAGAAGAAAAAAAAACAAAAATATGAAAAGCAACAACGAGAGGTGGTTGGCCTCGGGCAGCGCGCGTGGAGCATTAGCGGATTGATTTGGAAAAAAGTAGTGCACCGCCCGGGAAGCACGAAAATGACGGAAGGAAAAAAAAGGAGGGAAATTTAGTGAATCGCGAAAATCCTTATCGGTGCTGGGGGACCGGGAGGGCGGCAGAAGTGTCGGAAATCGGGAAAATTGGGGCAGGGCGAATCCGGATACGCGGGCAAGATGAGCGGACTGAGCGGGGCAATGGGGAGCCGAGCGGAGCGGAAGGTGCGGAAGCAATCAAATCACAGTGTCCCTCCGCGGACGGGCCTCGGAGGACGCAGCCGAGAGCCTCCCCGAGTCGCTGTGGGGCTGCTTGGGCATGCCGCGGCCCACAGTGCTACAGACAGACAGGTGGTGTGGCCGCGCGACGACCAATCGCACCATCACACATCCGGTCCTCAATTATATTCCGTTTGTCTCCGATAATCGTGAGCGATCCTATCGCCAACACAATCACATCGTGGCGGGGCGCGGCGGCGCGGCGGTGTCGTGCCGCGCACGGTGTGCCGCACGCACCGCCTCGACGCCTAGCTCGATGGAGACGTCAAACGCCGGCCAGCCTGTGGCCAGCCGCGGGCAGGGAGGAAGGGCCGCCGAAGACTTCCGTCGCCTGGCGTGGGCGTTGGGCGGTCCTACGCTGGAAGTCTCAATCCCAAATAAAAATCGGTACAACAAGTCAAATTTGCTGCGAGTGTGATCACTGAGGCTATTTCACGCCACCTGGAAGGGGTGCAAAATCAAAACAAATAGCGGAGGCATTAAGTCACGGAAGGCCCTGTCCAAAGTTTGGCGATTTGCGGCCGCCGGGGCTAGTCGCGGCCCGGTACGGCGTGCACGGTGCTGCGTGGAGTACAGTTATCGTCATCAGTGGTCATAACACCTTCCTGTGGGCGTGTTCCAGGACGACGGCTCCAGGTTCCAGGCAGCTCTAGCTGGCGCCGGCAGTAATGTCCCTGAGGGATCCCCGGCCGCCGTACAGTCGCTTTCAAAAGGACGAGGGGCGGCACGGCCACGGCGCGGCGGCGGGGAGGCTGCAGACGACGCCGTGTAATTTTCGGCGGACTCGGCAGAAACATGGGCGGTGCTGCGGTGGCCAGGCCTCGCCGCGCCGTGCCAGGCCCAGGTAAAAGGGGAGGGACCAGGCACCGGCCCTGGGTGGCGCGGCGCACATCGGCCTGGTGAGGCGTAGCACGGCCGCCCCTACAATGCAAAGCAGAGGACACGCGAAATCCCGGTGGAAATCTCGCCGTCTCCTGCGTGACGGTTCATTCCGAGCCGAGCCTGCCTCTTTACCCGCATGGCGTCCTTGTAAAGCTCCATTCAAAACTGCCGAAATGCACCGCGCTGGTGTACCCCCTCCCCACCCCGTCAAGAAATCCGCGATGACGACAACCCCTGCGCGGTCCCCCGCGGAGAGAAAGAGAGAAGCCACCCTTCACTTTTTTAATCCCCGGCGCGCCTAAGCCTTAATGTACATTCTGATTCATTGCTCTTTTCTCTTTCGCCGCCGCGCCCCGCCCCGCCCCGCCCCCTCCTGCTAGGCCCAGACCGCCCTAGCGCCGGTCTTTGTTTCCCGGCTTTGAGCCCCCTTTCTCCGCCACTGTCTCCGCACACGCACACACTCACGCACACGCACTCACACTCTCACACACACGACCGCACTTGCGCCCAGTGCGTGTCCCCCGAAATCCACCCTGCATGGCGTTCTTCTAATGAGATGCGCCCTTGCTCTGGCTCTGGCTGTTTCGTGGATTTGTCCGCCGCTTGCCGGACGTCGTCGTGGCCGCCGCGCCGCGCGGGTTGCAGGCATGGCTTTCACTGCCGTCGGCGCTTTCGCCTTGTCGGGGCTGTTTTTGTATTTTTCGGAGTACGCACCGCCATTTTTCTTTCCTCCGACTGTCTTTCTTTACATGTGTTCTTTTTTGTCGGCGGAGATGCGCGGCCGATACTCTCGCAGCCGCCCTCTGAGTCACGGCGTGCATGGCGTGCACGGCGCGCACCCCGCCCGCGCAGCGCCGCGCAGCCCGTCATGCGGCGGGGCGGACAATGCTGGCGGTCGCGGCGCACATCGAGATGTCTCGATTTGATGTGGCCAAACGACGCGTGACCGCCGCGGTGTCTGCTTCGCTAATGAGCACGCCGTCGTGCACCTGACCGCACACACGCAGCCCGCCCACCCCACCGAGCCTCCTCCTCTTGCCGACGACGCTGACGACGTCCCCTGGGCACCATTCAGTGGAGGTACTTTCGGACGGCACGACGCCGCCGGCGGCAGCAGGTAGGTACCCCCGGGTACCCCGGCCCCCGGCGGGCGGGACAAGGTGACGGCCACATTTATCAGGTTGGTACTCGTCAGCCCAAAGAATGGTGGCCCCGAGGTAACGGGTACCGGCGGCTTCCAGCGCTTCCAGCGGCACGACGGGGACCTCGCTTGTATAGGCAGCCGAGGACGACGCGGCCCTTTTACAGCGCGGCGCGCCTAGCGCGGCAGCGCGGCCAGGGCCGAGGGGGTATGCGCTCTCTGAACCTGTGTACCGACTATTACGCTATTACGCTTTATTACGCCACAAATTAATCGGAATTTAGCTAAAAACGGCCTAAAACACACCAATTGATAACTTTTGACAATTCGGCTATTACGGGGACTTTTCGCTATTATTACGAAAGCTATTACGATAGAGGCCGCTATTACGCGAGTGCATACCCCCTCGGCCAGGGCACTGTAAGGAAATACGGCCTTTTAGCGCTTTAGCGTGCACCTGATACTCAAAAGCGGAGCGGCAACCAAAAGCTCCGAAATCCAGGGGCCCTCGGGACAGATTTCCGGTTGAAACAAATGAGAGGCTGCCTTTCGAAAACCTAACGGCGGCGGTGCTGCCCTCTACGCGACTCGCGACGAAACTTGGTACCGGCTGGCACATCCGGCGCCGCGACGCACAGGCGCCAAGGGCTTATTCCCGGCAAGCGGTACTCGTCCTTCCCCCCCTTTTTTGCCGTCCTCCTGATCCTTATTCGGAGCCGCCGAGATCGGGCACTTCATTACACGCGCGAGCGAAGGGCCTCTCTTTATAATTCAATCGCAATCCATGTGTGCGTGTGTGTGGTAGCGCGGGCGAGAGGGAGAGAGAGCGAGCGAGGAGGAGACAAAGACGGGGCGACGCAACGAGAGGGACTCGTCAGACAGTGGCGCCCCCGAGCCGAGCGGGCGTTCCGGGAAGCGAGGCCGCCTGGCGCGCTGTCTCGCGGCGCTGGCTCTGGCCGCTCCTGCGGCAGGGGGTGGGGGCCGGGGAAGGACCGGCACCCCGCCGCCCCGCTCCCCCCGCCCCTCGCCGCCGCCAGCCAGTGAGTCAGTCCGGCCGCGAGCCTCGTCGCGAGCGGTAGTCCTTGCCGCCGGTCCGCGCGTCCTCGCCGAGCTCCGCGTGTTTCTCTCGTGCGTCGCCGGCTTCGCCACGCGAGTCGAAGACTGTCGGAGACCGGCCCTGCAGTGCTCCAGTTTGATTGATTGGTGCAGTGAGCGAGTGCACCGCACCCCGGATTCGCCCACCGACGACCCTGTGTAGTGCATCTCATGAGAGGATAACCGCGTCCCGGGACGCCTCCTCAAGGATAAAACCAAGTGAAGGGAGGGGAAAAAAAGTGAAGTTTGTGCTAAGTGTGTGGTGGCCAAGTGCCATCAACAGTGAAGTTTTTTGTGAAGTGCGCTAAACGGCTCCCGTTGGATGTCAACGCAGCCGACACCGTGAATGGGATACTTTTTGTGGATACCTTGAGGATTTCTCTCTCACCGGTAAGTGCGACCGCTGCTGCGAACTGCAGCCTTGAAGGGGTTCTCGGCGGGCATGGAGGTGGAAACGCCAAGACGCCGAGTGCACGCCACTGGAAGGAATGCAACTCTAAAGGGAGGTTCTGTCTTCGGAATTTCCAGCTCACGTATATCGTCCACGGAGCGCGTTTTCAATGTCACACACAGAATAACATTTTTTGGGAATTCGATTCTCTAACTCATTCATCTAATGCATCTCGCTCGTAACGCTGGCCGTTTACAAGATTCAGACAGCTGAATTCGTTTTTGTTCGTGGGGCGGTTTGAATTTTGCCGCGCGTCCGGGCCAATACGTCTAACGCTAATTGATTGGCTCGCTGCCGCAGAGATTAATCGCCGCCAAATCCCATTGACTGTGTTGTTGTTGTCTCCCGATGCAACTTGTTGGCGCATACGTAAATGCACCGCCGCGCTGCACCGGCCGCAGCATTCACATTCACGTTCGCTTTGCATAGATTAATTATTGCGATTCGTTAGTGCGGTGCCCGGCTCGGTGATTGATTCAAACGCGACACGAGTGCAACATGATTGGCTCGCGTGCTGGCTGGCTGCGCGCACGGCCCTCGCGCTCTGTGAGTGTGTCTGTGTGTGTGGTTTGGCTGCGGGGCTGAAATTTCATTTGTCGTTTGGCCGCCTAATGCGAGTTAGTTGATGACACTCGGTGATTGCTTTCCTTGATATCTCATTTCATTTAGCGTCGCCAGAGCTGCAGCACGCTGGGGCACCGGAGTGTCGCGGACCGCCACGGGCTGCCCGCCGCCTCGCTGCTTGCGGCCAACTTGGGGTAATAATTCATGGCGCTTGCTGCTTGCTTGGAGTCTGGATGTCACCCTCTCCGCCCGGTCCGTGTGTGTGTGTGTGTGTGTGTGTGTGTGTGTGTTGTGTGTGTGTGTGTGTGTGTGTGTGTGTGTGTGTGTGTGTTGTTTGTGTGTGTGTGTGTGTGTGTGTGTGTGTGTGTGTGTGTGTGCGTGCGGCGTAACGCCAGGGCTGTTCAAGTTATGGTAATGCGGAGGGCACGGCCACCAGGGGGCACACGGTGTGACGGACGGGCTGGAGGACGAGGAGGTCCTGCCCGACGATGGACGGCGACGGGGCCAGCTGCCGCGCGCCGCTGTCACAACGTCACACCGCGGAGGCGCCCGCGTCGAAGTCGATTGAATCCGATTCTTTATTTCTGTTTGAACGTCCGGTGAAGTGGCGGCCTGGCGGTGCGGGGACTGTGTCGCAGGCCTTCCCTCCCCTTCCCCCAGGCTGAGCTTCTCGGTGCACCACCGGCGGCCAACTCTCGAAGCGTTTTGAGCTCCAGAGTCGCTGAACAGGACTCGAACCGAGCGTGTGACCCCACGAATGGATTCCTCGTGCGGAGAGCAATCCATTGGTGGGGTCACACGTTCGGTTCGAGTCCCATCTTGCGACTCTGGAGCTCAAAACGCGTCCGGGGTTTTGACCGCGAGCAGCGGTCTTCCGGCAAATCCACCGCTTCTCGGCAGGACGGCGGTCTAGTTAGGCCTCAGACCGCGCCCTGCTGGCCGTGCCGGCCGTCCGCGGGAACAGACATGGGAGTGGCAGCGCTAGAGCACTGCTACAGCACTGCTACAGCACTGCAAGGCGAGGGCCGTCGTTGCCGTTCCGTGTCGCGCTGCCCGTCGGTGCCCGGCGGTGCCGCAGTCGTTGCCGTGTTGGCGCGGACACGCCAACTTGGAACTGTCGCAGAGCGGCCCGGCGCGGCCCGGCATGGCCCGGCACTACACTACATGTAGCGGCCCTGGAGTCTAGCGCTAGCGCAGTGAATCTGGAAGGCCTAGGTAGGCCCTAGCGGAGCTCAGCGGGTAGCGGCGGCTCCAGGTGAGCGAGCGCGGAGTTGGAATTGGACTTGACTGCGGCAAACTCTGTGCGCCTTGACGGCTACATCGCCCCAAGTTGCCCGCTGCGCTGCGCCTTGAGACTCGCTCGCAATGCAGGCAATGCAGCCCGACGGCCCGCGAGCCCTGCACGCTGCGATGGATGGCCGCGGAAAAAAGTTTTGGCGCTCGTGCGGGGATTCGAACCCGCGTCGTCGTCGACGACGGCCGTGGCTAAAGCGTGCGTGATGAGGCGCCGGGCTCCGCCCTCCTCTTGAACGCGCTTGACGCGCTTGACGCGCTTGACGCGCGCACACACCGCAAAGTGTGTAAACATTCCGGCGGCGCAAATCGCGATTTCACGGCGGAATCGATAAGGCTCTGCCCCGCGGCGCTGTCGCCACACATGACGCTGTCGGTCTGTCTGTCTGCCCGTCCGTCCGTTCGCCCGCCTGCTTGTCTCTCCGGGCTGGCGGCGGGGCGCGGCGGGGCGCAGGGCGTAAGGACTGTTCCGCTTTAAATGCCTCGTCGGGCTGCTCGTTGCCTTGCTGCCCCGGGGCGTTTCCCCGCGATCCCGGCCGCCGCCGAGTACATCCAGCCCGCCTTGCTTTTTCTCACCTTCGGACAGACGGACAGACAGACGGGCGGACGGCGTCGGCGTGTATTAAGACTTTATCGCATGGCATCTGCCGAACGGAACGAGCCGGAACGGACGCCGGCTGCATCTGCGTTCATTAGTCACAGCGTCGCGTAGGCCAGTGTGGTGGCGGCAGCCTGCTGCAAGGCCCCTGCGAGCAGGAAGGACAGCACAGTACCTCTGTCTGATCAGCCTTCGAACGAGGACTGTGCCACATCGCGGTCGAGCATGTTCGAGCCCTCTGAGTGCCCTGTCCGGCCGAACAGCTTACGAACAGCCGGTGCCTGGCCTGGCCGAGCCTGGCCCTCCGCGGGGGCGGCCGACGCGGCCGACGCCGGATGCGCGCCTGACACCTTCCGCAGCGTTCCGCAGCCAAACACAAAAGTTTGGCGGCGCATACTAATGGCACCGGACGCAGCAATAACGATAACTGATCGGCGATACGCCGCCAGCTCGGGCTGGCCGCCTGGCCGGCCGTGGCTGGCCGCCAGTCGTGACTCAGGTGCTTCGATTTCCGCCGAGTACCGTTGGCGCGCTCTTTTTGGTCCAATTTCCGGAAAGCCCCCCCTCCCCCTACCTGTTTGAAGCAGCCGCCTCGGACGCACGAGTAATGATACACTTTTGCTGCGAAAAACAGCGGAGGGGGAGAAGGGTCGCATAATTGTTGGCAGGGCAGGCGGGGCGGAGGAAAGGGTGTGCCGGTCGTTGTCCAAGTTATTACCGCGTTAAAGATGACCGTTCGAACAACCGGGGCGGTGGGCCCGGACGGCCCGGACGGCCGCCACCGGGCTGCCGGGGCCGCCGCTTTGGCCACGCCTGCTTTCAAGATTTTATGAGGAGGCCGCAAGAAATTTGGGGGCAGCGGCCCTAATTTTATGTTGTACTGCGTTCCTGATGGTCTCCAAACGGTGCAATTTTTATGACGTGCCACACCCTTCCGCAGGTGTGCGTGGGCAGGGCGGGGGGAGGGGGGGGGGTCGCGGCAAAGGGTTCCTCTCTCAAGGCGGCCCGGTGGGCGGGGCGGGGCGGCCTGCCTGTGTGTGCGTGTGTGTGCCGTGGGCTGGGCCGGAGGGCCGGACTGCAGGGGGTGCGTGAGCCGAAAGCCTCTGGCCGGGGGGTCGGCCAGGCTTTGGGGGCTGTGCTGGGGGCTGTGCTGGGGGTAGGGCTGGTCCTGGTGGTGGACTGCCTCGCCTCGACCCGCTTTTCGCTGTGTAGTAATATGCCTCTCTGTGAGTTAAGCCCCTCTGATCCGCCCTTATCGAGAACTCGCCATATGCGACCTCCTCCAGGCCTGGACGTCCGTGGGGCTGTAGATAGCTCGAGTCCGCCCGCCACTGTTTGACCGCCATCGACTGCGGTGGTTGCACCCGTACCGCCAGTGTACCGCCACCCCTTTGGTGGCTGGCAGGCCCACTGGCAGGCCTAGCGTGAGAATCCCGGTGACTCCCAGCCCGTGACAATGCCTGTCGGCCGGACTGTTGGTTTGGTTGACGGAGAGCTTATTGTGGCCCCGCCGTTCACCCCGGACGGGTCGGGGACGGGACGGTGACACCCCAGTGACAGCGACGGGTCGTATTTTTGAGTATTTGGGCTGCCGGCGTGCCGGCGTTGGCTCCGGCTACCTGCCTCGGCCGTGACCCCGTCGCCGTGCCCGCGCCCCGTGTCCGCCTCCCCTCACCGCCTCGTCGCCTCGTCACCGCAAACGGAGCAGACGCGAGACGTGCTCGCCACTCTGATCCCTTTTTTGCGGCCGCGGTGCCGCGGGCTGCGCACCCTGCGCTATTTGAATAAGGGGTGGCTGCGTCGCCGCGTCGTCGCCGCGTCGTCGCGGTGCTGCCGGGGGTGGGGGTGGGGGCGAGAGGAAGTCGCGCCCCCCGAGGCCCAGTCCCGTGAGCTCCCCCTCCCCCCTCCCCTCCAACCTGTTCATGTCGGCCTCCTCGCAGGACTCCGCGCAGGTGCAGCGAGGCTGACACTTTTAGTGCCTCGTCGTGCACGTGCAGGCCGTGGCAGTGCAGGCGCTGCGCAGGCCGCGCGTTTCCCACGATCGCCCAGGTGCCGCTGAATAGGGCCACGCCGCCGCGCCGCCGCGCCAGTCCCGGCGGAAAGGGTTCCACTCCCGGCGGCGGGGGCGGCGCTGCGTGGCACTGTATTTCGGCATTTCGGCAGCGGCTCGCTCATAATGGTCGTCCCCGTTTCCTCGTTCCTCGAGTTTGGAATTCTCGCCCAGTTTCTGCGCTGCCCTTTGGGACGCCCCCGCCGCCCCCGCCGCCCCCAACCTTGACCCGGGCGCGTCTTCCTGCCTGACCGCCAGCGCGGGGGCGGTGGGGGCGGCGGGGGCGGCGGGGGTGCGGTGGCGTGACCGCCCGAGGGGCTGCGCGCTAACTCTTCCGGTCGTCCGTCGGGAAGTTCGCACCCGGCCTCGTCTTCCTATCATTTCCGCGAGCGCGCCCCGTTCGGGGGGCAGGCAAACACGCTCGGGGCTGAGGA